CCCGCCTGGAGCATCCCCTCCCGCCTGGAGCACCCCCACTCCCGCCTGGAGCACCCCCACTCCCGCCTGGCGCACCCCCTCCGCCTGGAGCGCCTCCTAGCCATGAGGCCGACAGACCCGCCGAGTCAGGACGCTGCCACGGCCGGCTCCTGGGGCTGGCGGCCGAGAGCTCTGCGGGCAGGGCCCGTGTCCCGGGGCTCAGTGGAACATCCAGCGGCACGGGGCGGGGGCGGGGCGGGCGGGCCACGCTTCCCTCCAGAACCCACCTAGGGCACCATCTGGAGGTCCACCGGGTCATAGGGCGAGACCCGGAGATCCTGCAGCAGGGCTTCCAGGCTGTTCCTCAGGAGGGTGTAGGGCGGCTTCTCCTCGTACTTGAGGGCCATCACCACCTTCAGGTACTCCTGCAGGGTCTCTGTGGTCAAGACACCCCACGGGGAGGGCTGAGCGGGCCCGAGCCAGAGCCTGGGGGCTGGGCCAGGCCCGCGTGGTGCCCACGGGCCGGGTGCTCCCTGCGCTTGGCACTGCAGAGGCACTGCAGACTGTTTCTGAGCGCCTCCCTGGCCGTGCGGGGGCCAGAGCGCGGCCCGGGGAGACTGCCCGCAGCCCCGGCAGCCCCAGTTCAACTCCCAGCCAGGGAGGGACCCAGGGCGCCGCAGACTCTCCCGGCTCCCCGCTGTGCCCCTCAGCAGTGGGTTTCAGTGCATCTGTCTGTTCTGCTCCCCGCTGTCTCTGGGGAATCTTCTCACCCCCACACCTCTGGCTACATCCCGGCTCTTGTGTGCATAAATAAATCTTTAAGCAAACAAGAACCGAAGCAACTTGCGCCACGCTGTCTAGATAACGACCCCTGGGCAGCCTGCTGTGTGCGCGTCTGCCTCAGCTCACCTTTTTTTTTTTTTTTTAAAGATTTCTTATTCATGCATACAGAGCTGGGGTGCAGGCCGGAGACGCAGGGGGTTTATCCACCAGACACAGTGGGGAGCAGAACAGGCAGACTGACGAAGTCCACTGCTGAGGGAGCAGCGGGAGACGGGAGGGCGCCGCTGCGGCCTGGGGCCACTCCCCGGCCGGGGATGGACTCAGGCGGCAGTGGTGTGGCAGCTTCGTGGAGCCGCGCTTCACCCCGCCGCGCCAGCCGGCGGGCCTGTGTCTGCCCCCCTTCGGACTCGTCTGCGTTCCGGGAGGCGGCTGCGGAGCCCCACAGCAGCGCACAGACAGACGCATCCGGTGTGGGGACTTGGGGAGGGGCCCAAGGGGCAGAAAGGGAGGTGACCCCAGGGGCGAGCCCGCGCGGCTCCAGGACGCACCTGAGGGGCTGATCCAGCGGCTGCACTGTCCCACGAGCGCCTCCGGGTTGTCGAGAAACCTGACAGGACAGAGGGGGCTGCAGGCGGCTGGGGGGCGGGGGCAACCTTCCCACGCGCCTCGCCCTCCGTCCCGGCACGGCACGGGGCCCCGGAGCCTCCAGCCACACTCGTCCTCGGACCGCGACGCCGCCTGGTGCTGTGTCTGGCTCGACGCCCCCGGACAGCGCTGACTCTAGCGCTGAGCTGCGGCGGCCGCAGTGCGGAGCCGGCTGAGGGAGGCCGGCCTTCACAGCCCGCGAGCGAGCCTCTGAGGCAAGTAATCGGCAGCAGAAAGTGCAAAAATGAGGTGGCGGCCAGGCCTCAGAGACTAGGGGTGGTGCTCCGGTGGCCCGCCGCCCCGGGGGAGTGGACACACCTGCCAAGGCGGCCCCGTGAGGGCGCGGCCCAGAGCACGGCCCTGCAGTCCAGAGCGCCACACTTGTGAGGGTGGGCGGGGAGCGGAGGCCAGAGAGGGCAAAACCCCTCACAGAGGCAGAGGAGGGCGGCGTCTGACCGGCGCCCGCAGCCATGCCCGCTCGGGCTGTGCCATGGGGCACATCATGTGAGCGACACTGGGGGTTCGGCGGCGGCCTCCCGCCAGCGGGCTGCCCCAACAACATGGACCACATCTGTCTCCTGGCTGCGCTCCCCAGGTGGGGGCCCTGCACGCCGAAGGGTCTGGGGAATTAGACTCAGGCCTCTTCTTTTAGTCATTCATTCCATCATGAACGTTAAAAACACAAAATACAGGTTAAACACAAGAACAGGCCGCATGGACGCGACATTCCCGAGGGCAGGGAGGGTCTAGAATGCGCATGGGGCAACACCGCCCTCTAGCGGCGCCGGTGGTTACTGCCCGGTGCAGCAACCCCTCACACACGTGAGCAGCGGCACTGGGAGACGCACACTAAGGGTGTCTGAGTGGGTGTCACGGTTGGGAGGAGAAGGTGGGCGATATAAAGGGCAAGGTAAAGTGCGAGGCTCTTCAACAGAACTATGTGCTGAGAAGGTGGACTCAACGCTGGTCTCCCGACACCCCCGCCCATTCTGCAGGCTTTCACCTAACAACCTCACCCTCTCCCAGGCGAGATGCGCTGTGCTCTGGTTCTGTTAAAACCCCCTCCTGCGCTTCAGGCATGGATGGTCAAGCATTTCCCGGACAGCCCCACGGGGAAGACTCCTGGGCAACTCACCCTCAGGTCTCCGGCAGGCCTTGAATTCCAGCGTTTGGCCTTGTAGGGCTCCCCTATGCCCAGCTGGCCTCAGTCCTCAACCCCGAACCACATCCCAGCACCACCCGCATTCAACTGTCCAGGTGCTGAAACACCACCCAGTGGGCACTTGTCCTTGGTGCTGAAACGCAGACATTGCGGCTGCGAGGGGCCTGTCCTTGGTGCTGAAAGTCTAAAACCGCCAGCAGGACCGGAGTGTTGGGGGGAGGGGCAGTGTGGACACTGGAGGCCGGTGTTGCCGGACACTGTGCCTGGCCCACACACTTGTCTGCTGGGAAGGTCGGCACAGAACACGCCTGAGACCCCGCTCTGCGGGACACCACTGCCCTTCCTCCCTGCTTTTGTCGGGCTCTGAAATTCTGCCACACAGGCAGGTGTGCCGGCCAATGCTGGCTCTGCTGACCCCCCACACTCACTTCTGTTTCAGCTTCATGATCTCCTCGGTGTTGGGGAGGCATTTGGTCCATGGCAGGAACCCATAGAGCCACTTCAGCATACAGTAGCCCAAGGTCTGGAGGTCACTGCGGCGGGAGGGTGCTGGGTGGGGCGGAAGGAAAAAGGTGCTGGCTCAGTGTGGAAGCACCACTGGCTGACACATCAGCTCCTCTCCTTCCTGTCACTGACTCAAACGTGCTCTCCTACACCCAGCCTTGTAAACAGCCTGATCTCACTCAGGCCCCACTATCCTTGGTGCTGAACTGCCTCCCCGAAAGCACCCGATACAGGTGTCGCTGTCCATGGTTCTGAACACAAACCATGCTGTCACTCCTGTGTTTGGCCCTCTGCTGTCATGGCTGTGGAAACCTGGCGAGCGCTGCCCTTGAGTGAGAAATATGTCCGCGTGATCCTGAATCCCTTCCCTGCCTCTTACCACATCCCTTGTGCAGGTCCATGCTAATGAACTCGAGGTCCCCTTCGTGTGGGGTCCTGCTGCCTTCAGCATAAGCCACATGTTTGCCGCCTGGAGAATAGCGGAAGGTGAAGCCATAGCCCGCCAGGATCACCTGTGTGGACATGGGGAGAGGCTGCATGGCTCAGAGCTCAGAAGCCAATGTTGGAGGTTTCCAATGAGGGTGCAACGGGGACCAACCAAATGTCAAATAGTACTGAGGGGTGTGAAAAACATGAGTCAACTAGCTCCCCGGCCCCCTAAATCTACTTCCAAGCAGTAACCACTAGTAAGTTTCTTGTGCATAGTTCTTAAGTTGTTGTCTATAAATAACTGATAAACGCGTGTCTGGAAAAGGGAGCTGCCTTCCACAGAGGGTAACATGGCGCTGCCTGTCGGACACCTGCACTTTCATTGTGGCTCAGGGTAGCAACTCAGGGCCCAGAGAGCCCAGATTCACGTCAGCGCCCTTTTCATAGTCATGGCGGCTGTGGGCCTTAGTCGCGTCTTGATTTCTCCATTTGTAAAGTGGTGATAGTAACAGCCCCCACCCCACAGGGCTCCACAGAATTTCAGGTGCTTGTCAGCCAAACACACAGTTGGCCCAGCTGCTTGCATGGCTGCAGCACCTTTGTGCACAGGGATGGTGATGACCGTGGCCTTGTCTGGCCAGTTTGTGGCAGGTGACGGTCTACGTCAAACTGACCAGGCTGCGGGGCACCGGACACCGGCCAGATGTTATTCTGTGTGTTTATTTCTAGACGAGATTAACATCTAAAGCAACCCCAGGTGGCTGAAGCTCAGCTGGTCAGCTGACTGGGTAGAACAAGGCCCAGCAAGAGGCAGCTGGGCTGGAACACTGGGCTTTTGTTCTGCCTCTGTCTCAAAGGCAGAAACACTGGCTCCTTCTGGGCCTCCTGCCTGGGCATGCTCATGCCAGAACTTACCCCAAATCTGATTCTCAGGCCATGGGCCGGGACTAGAGACACATTCTCAGCTCCCCTGGGTGTCAGCTTAGCAGCTGCAGCTCCTGGCCTCCATACTCATGAGAACCCACTCTGAGAGTAAGTCTTTTCTGTATCAACATCCAGGGAAATCCTGGACTTACAACATTAAGGTTTTCCCTGGGATCTCTACCTCTACCTCATTCCATGTATCTGAGGCGGGGCTCACTGGGGGTGCCGAGCTAAAGGGAGTTTAGCCTAACGTGCCCGCAGTGATTCCGTCACCATGAAGGAAGAGAGAATTTCTGACTGTAAGCAATGCAAAGCTGGAAGAGCCAGTTCCCCCTCAGGGTATGCATGAAGGCCAAGAAATCCTGGATGATCCCTGCCATGGACCAGAAACTTGCAACCCTGCTTTTTAAAGCTCTCTCTCTCTCTCTCTCTCTCTCTCTCTCTCTCTCTTTTAAACTTAAGCAATGACCAATTGGGGGGGTCTCACAACAGAATAATTGGGATTTACTTTAAAAATCTACTTCACGGGCCTCCTTGGTGGTACAGGGGGCTGAGTCTCAGCACTGTGAAGCTGTCCACAGCCACTGTGGCAGGAGTTCGATCCTCAGCCAGGGAGTGACCCACAAGGCGCAGCAGACCTCTCCTGTCTCCCCACTGCCCGCCTCAGCAGTGCATTTCATTGGATCCACCTGTTCTGCTCCCCACTCTGTCTCTGGCGACTCCTCTTACCCCCACACCTCTGGCCTATACCCCAGCTCTTGTATGCATAAATAGATAAAATAAATCTTTTTAAAAAACCGACTTCATCAGCACCCTACTAGAGCATTTATTTAAAGTGTTTCTCATTTTACTCTGCGGTTGATGTCATTGGAACCTTCTGGACATGTATCTTTGAACAGGCACATAAACCTTAGATTTTATGGCTTGAATGCATCCCTAAAATAGACAAATGGGTGGATACAAAAATGCATTCAAAATTTGACTGCTATAGCCAATTACCTGCCAAAAGAACACCCAATTTACATCTCCAACAGTACATAAAAATTCCTGTTGCCTTACATCCTGACCAGCAGTAGCGATCCTTCTTTCTAACGCTGTAGATCCAAAGGATGAAAATCAGTACATGTTCATTTCCATTTCTATGATTACCAGAGGGTTGCACATCTTTCCATGTATTTGACTACCCTGTGGATTTTTTTTTCTGTCCTTTTGTCCATTTTTTATGAAGTCGCTGAATCTATTTACTCAAAGGTGCTCTTTACACAGGATGGATAACCACTGATGGTCTGCGGGAGCACTGTGAATGAAGTGTGGGTTGCCTGGAGGGCCCCAGGGCAGGACGGACTGGTTCTTACCTGGCACAGGTCCTCCGGGTTCACAAAGATATTCTCAGTCGTCACGTTCCCATGAACGTACTCGTTCTCATGGAGGAACTCCAAGGCGTCGAGCTGGGGGGGGGGGGGGGAGGAAGCCACACACCGTTCTCAGGGAGGAACTCCAGGGCACGGCGGGGGTCGTCTGCCAAGAGCCTGAGCGCTGGTGAGGGCGCCCGCCAGCGCCGGTGAGCTCACCGGGCTCCTCTGGCGAAGCATGAGAAGCCCCCGTGATGGCACGCCTATGCGTGTCTTATAGCAAAGCTTTAAAAACTTCAGCTTAACCCTCGGGCTTCTTTTTTCATGTGTGTTATATCTATTTCTTAGTTGACTGCAAACTCAGGAGGAAAACAAATAGGTTCCTTACGGCCCCCCTTCCGAGAAACCAAACACGCTTGGGTATCATTTACTCTCATTTCCCTGTGGAGCTGAACCCTTCCATTCAGCAAGCCACACTTGCTATAATTCACACCGACTCTGAACGCCTCAGTGCCAGCTACACCTGACTCCCGATCCCAAGGTTTTACTGTCCACCACGTTCTACCTGTTGCAGACCCGACTGCCCCCGCCCCAGCCCCGCTCCTGACCCACTCAGCATCGCGCCACTTCCCGCTCACCCCTCAAGCCTCAGCTGAGAATCCGCCTCCACCAGAAAGCCCAAGCGACCCCCTCGGGTTGACGCAGGGCTCCCTCCGACTCCCGCTCCCCGGAGTGCCGCTGCGGTGGGCTCACCCCTGCCCCCAGACCGACCCGGTGCCAGCAGTGCCCCCGGGTGCGCAGAGGGGCGCGGCGGAGCGTGCCGGGGAGCACGCCGCAGGCCCAGGCCCAGGGCCCCAGGCCCGAGACAGCAGCAGAGCGGCTGTGGCCCGTACCAGCCGGAACGCCACCTGGAACGCAGACCTCGCCGACAGCACGCGTTTGGGACTGTCATCCAGGGCCGACTGGAGGCTCCTCCCCAGACTGGGGAACACCAAGAACCTGGAAGACACGAAGCCCCGGGAGGAGAGGGGCGGCCAGGCGGGGCACAGGGCGCTGGCCAGGGCGCGCCGGGGAGCCAGGAGGCCTTGGCCCCCGGCGAGGTTGGGGCTGCGGCTGGCTCGGTGCCGGGGAAGGCCAGGGAGCAGCCACCCCGGCCGGGGCTCGGGGTGCGGCCGCGCCAGGCACGTGCCCCAGGTGGCGTGAGGCGGCTCACCTGTACTTGTCCTGGTGAACGCCGAAGCCGACACAGGTGGGGATGGCCAGCAGGGGCGTCGAGTACAGCTTCTTCCACTTGTTCACTGTGGGCGGCAGGGGCCTGAGGGCTCAGGCTCACCTGGCCCTGCCCACGGGCACAGGAGCTTGTCCTCAGGCCGGAGGCGTGGGCGCCAGGCCCAGCCACTCCCCGCGGAGGGGACGGTGAGCGCGTGTGCCCGGGAGCCGCTGCTGAGCACAGGGATGCGGAGGCGGCGCACCGAAGTCGGGTGAGCGGAAGGGACAGGCCAGGCCAACGCGCATGTCCAGCGCTGAGCTCAGGCAGCGTCCACACTGGCGCCTGCGCGCGGGCATCAGCACGATTCGGGACTCGGGGGACACGGGGGCTGGTGCAGGCCAGGGCCCCCCACCCCAGGCTGGAGGGCAACTCTGGGCCCACGCCCGCCCCGGGGAGTACCTTGCAAGGGCTTGGCGGCCCGCTGGAAGAAGTTCTGCTCGTTGAACAAGCGTCCGTCCTTGGCATCCTGGAGGGGACAGAGGGTGGAGGGGGCTGCCACAGCAGGCCGATGCGACACGGCCGCCAAGACCAGGGCTCAGGCCCCACGCGTCGGGACAGGTCCGGGGTGCGCACAAGCGCCTGTCAGAGACGGCGAGTTCTCTCTCCTCGCCCTCGTCTCTACTGAGAGGATCCACGAGTGTCCCCGGACAGGTGGCCTTCCGCAAAAATCACTGCCCATCCTCCCTTGCAGTGAGGTGCGACAGATGACTGTGTTCTGGCCAACGAGCTGGCGACGCCCAGGTTCTGCCTTGACGTGGCGTGGCCGGCTCTCCTCTCGCTGTTCTCTTCCAGTCACTGGCATGCAGATGTGATGGCGGGAGCGGGAGCAGCCGCCTCCCGCCACGAGGTGCTGCTCAGGAAGCTGTGTGACAAAGGGCAGGGAGGCAGAACTCCACCACACCAGCCCCGAGCCGCTGCTCGGTCGCGGGTCACCTCGGTCGCGGGTCACCTGCAAGGTCCTCTTCTACTGCTGTTAATGCTAGGTCATTTCCCCTAACAACCAGACCAAACAGCTTCATGAAACAGAGTACATCTGGGTTCTCAAGAGCGCAGGGTCAGAGAGGTCCTAATCCCAGGTCCACGGCAATTCGTTCTTCTTGCAGAGCACCCTGAGGTGCCGAGTGTTGCTCTGGGGTACAGGGGGTCCAGCAGTGAACGTTGCAGCCTGCACACCGGTCGCCCAGGGTGACGAGGGACTGAGCCCCCATCTCCTCAGGTTACCTGGGGAACACAGTGGTGACCCCGCAGGCTTGTGGGGAGCGCTGAGCCCGGGCCAAGCCCAGAACAGGCTCCTGACAGGCAGGGGCCAGACCTCCGCCGCGAGCCTGGCTCCAGAACCCTGGCTGCGCACCACAGCCGGCTCCTGGGCGCAGTGAGGGCCGCCGGCCCGGCCCTGACGTCCTGGGCGGGAGCAGGCCTGGCTCTTCCTCACTTTCTCCTCTGAGCCACTCCCGAGTGTGTGGTCCCACCTGCTACGGTCAGAGGTGACTGCACTGGTCCCAACACCGGGCGTGTCTACACGCGGGCGCTCAGTGAACGCCTGCTCTGAGGCGGGCAGGCTGGCAGGCGGGCAGGCTGGCAGGCTGGCAGGCGGGCAGCGGTGGAGCCAGGCTCTGTGGACGCTTGCCCCGATCTCTTGGCCAGCAGGCGGCGGAGCTGGGTCTGGGCTGGAGCCGATGGCTCCAGACATATTCACAAGATCGGAGCAGTGGCTCAGGGCTGATGTGACGGAGGCCTGCTTTCCCTCTTTTGTGATGTGATGCACTTCTGGCCCAGGGAGACTCCCACCAGCCAAGGTCAAACAGCCCTGGCAGGCCAGGGCCTTGCTCCGAGGCCTGTCGCAGCCTCAGAGGGGCTGGAGGTCAGGGGCACATCGGCCGAACCCCGGCCCACTCGGGACTGCCCCACCCGCCCACTCACCAGCTTGAGGGAGAACCTCTGGGTCTTGGGACTCGAGCGGCAGGCGGAGGCAGGCTCGGCTGTGGAGGGAGAGTGAGCGCGGTTACCGCGGGGTGGGGGTGGGGGAGAGGGCCAGCGACCCTCCCCAGCGGCCCTCTGGCTCCCTCGCGCCCCAGGACAGCGCATTCTTGGCTTCCAAGACCTACTCCTTCCTGCTTTCAAATTTGGTTTTTTGTCCCCCTTGACTTTTCTCCGACTGTTAACTAACATCCGACTGCGCAGAAAGGGGAAGCAGACGCCTGACAAGTCTCCTCGCAGAGACCCGCCAGCGGGGCTGGCCCGTGGGAGGGGTCGGCCTTGCCCACACCAGTGGGTGGGCCCAGGGCCTGGGCTCTGCAAACATGGTCGCCGCTGAAGTCCTCTTCCCTCCTGGGCGCCTGGACGCTGGGGCGCATGCCAGGCCGAGGGGTGCGCGTATTTTACCAGTGAAAGCCCGGGGGGGGCAGTCTCCGGCGAGCTCCCAGGAGACAGCAGCGTGCACGTGTTGTCCCCCCCGAGGCCGGGGTCAGTGTGTGCCCTGCGCGCCGGAGGGGCAGGTTGGGGGACTGCGGCTGGCCTCGCCGGCCGCCGCTCTGTGCAGTCGCAGCTTCAGGGCAGCGCAGAGGCCTGCGAGCCCAGCAAAGTGCTGTGCCCTGCGGTCCCGGCCCCGGCGACGCCCCCGCAGGCATGGCCGGCAGACTCCCCTGCAAGGGCGACTCGCGACCCAGTCGCCCCCAGGAGGGCTGTCAGCAGCAGCCCTCATCTGCACACCGGGGCGGCCCAGTCCGACGGCCGCATGGCGGTTAGAGGAAAGGGCCCAGCGTGCTGCCCAGCCCGTGGGCCTGCTGGGGATAGTGGCCACATCACAGAGCATGTCCAGCCCTGCTCAGCCGCAGACCCCGCCCTGCTCCGCCCGAGCTCAGCAGCGCTCGCATCGTGCCTGGCCGACGGCCCTGGAGCAGGCCCGCGGTGGCCACGGGGCTCGCTGGGTGGACGAGAACACCAGGGGCCGGAGCTCCATGAGGTCACTCGGGGCAGGGGGTAAAAGCCGCTCAGAACTGACAGACGCCTCCAGCTTCTTCCTCTCCTGAGTGGGCAAACCCCCTCAAGGGGGCACAGAAGCCCAGGCAGGCGGTGGGCGTGGCCAGCAAACGGCACTGAGCGTGAGCATGAACGCGGAGCGGGTCTCTTCGGGGCCCAGGCGCACTGGGGCAGGGCACACTGGGGAGGCGCTGGCTGTCCCTGCGCTTGCCCCGCCATCGGCCGTGGGCCCGCGCTATCAAGCTCTGCACCCGAGGAGGGGAAACTGAGGCACGAGGCCCCGGTCACATGAACACGGTCAGACTGGGAGCGGACGGCAGGGGCAGGAATGGGCTCCCCGCCCTGCAAGCTTCGCTGGGGACTCCAGGCTGCCCCCGGTACCAACGCCACGACCCCCTACTCGCTGCTACGTGTGCCCACTGCTGTGGGCCTTCACCCGCTGGCCCTCTGGGTGCCCTCTCTGTGCCACCCCCTCAGCAAGGGCCGTCTGAAAGGCAGCGCAAAGCGAGCTGGGCAGCCCCCTGTGGGTGCTGGGGCGAACAGCCGAGGCCTGGCTGGAGACACTGGTCACAGTGGAGGCGGGGAGCTGTGCTATGCACCTATGGGTGAGGCCTGGGGCCAGGCAGGAATCACACCGCTCCGGGGCCGGGGCTCCGAGGCCAGAATCCTCACTGTGAGGGTAACTGGCAGTGTAAGTCTGACAGCTGGGGGTCTCGGGGGGCCTGTCCGGAGCAGCTGGAGCTGAGGGGCAGGGAGCGGCCTCCGGCTGCCACAGGGAGACCCCGCACACGGGAGGGGCGCAGGGGAGCAATGGGGTCTGGGCGGTCAAGGTGAGGCGAAGGTCTGGAAAGGCAGCGGCTGCCCCGTCCAGCACCCCTGGGACTGGGGGGCACTGGGACGTGACTCCAGAGGAGAGGGGTGCAGAGGGCAGTGATGCGCTGTGGAGCTGCAGGAGCTGGGGAGTGCGGCGGCTCGACCCGGGGAGTCTCCTGGAGCCTGCCAGCCCAGCCCGCCCAGCTTCCCCGCGGTGAGGTGGCTGCAGACCTCCGAGCCGAGCCCCGAGCCCCGAGCCCCGAGCCCAGGCTGTGGGCCTCAGCGTGCCGTCTGGGAGCCCGCTGTGCGCGGCCGCCTTGTGAGCCTCAGGTCGCCAATCCGAGGCCCCAGGCTCAGCCTGGCGCAGCGCAGGCCTGGATGGCGCCGCCTGCCCCGCCCAGAGCCCGCGGGCAGCTCAGGCTGGAGGAAGGCTCTGTCGGGCCTCCGAGGCCGAGGCCGGCCTGGACGGCTGAGCACAGCACGACCCGAGAGCAGAGAGCGGCTAGAGCGGGGGCTGCGGGGCGAGAGGGCCACGGGCACGGGGCCACGTGCCAGCTGCTGCCACAGCCCTCACCCCCGTGGCCACCGCCCTGCTGGTCTGACTCACACAGGCTGCGACCGGCCACGGTGTCGTGACTGGACAAGCCGGCGGGGTCAGGGCGAGCGCCGGGCTGGCCCCGAGCTCGGGGCCTCTCGTTCGCCTCCTCCCTTTCCTTCCCGCTCCCGCCCCTTCCCCTCGCTCCTCCTCCGGCAGGGTGGCTGAGAAGCCAGTCCTTGGGCTCCAAAGCCCAGCTCTGCCCTGTGCCCGAACCCCACCCTGGCCCCCCCACTTCCTCCCCTTTCTTTCTCAGAGTGTTTCAAGCCGTTCTCAGGAGCTTCACTGACAGAAGCAGTAAGCCTTTCACGTCCTCACGGTGTGTGTGGCTGTCACGGTCTTGCTATCCAAGCAGTTTGGGGGGAGGACAGGCCCCCTGACTTCTGCCAGGTAGCTACTGCGTGGCTTCCTCGCCGCCCGGCCATCCCAGGCCGCGCCCGCATGACCACAGTAGCTGTCCCAGGCTGCGTGCTCTGCAGCTGGCGGGGCCCCTCTATCCCAAACTGCCTTCCCCCAGCCCTGTGGGTGGGTTCTCAGTCCCGAGTCTACGGAAAAGCCGCCCAGAGGCAGGCGGGCATGGGTGTGGCTTCCCGTGCCCAAGCTGCAGTCCCCGCCGCCCGCCCGCGGCCAGTTACCTTCATAGAGGACGCCCTGGTCGTCCCTGCTCTGCAGAAACCCCAGCTTCCAGTGCTGCCCGCTCTTGTCTGTCAGCACCGTGCCCGTGGGCAAAGCCTCCAGGGAGGCGGTCACCCGGCTCCGCTTCAGTGTCTGCGGGCTTTGCTTGCTTGTCTGTGGGCTACTTTTGAGGGTCGGGGACCGGCTCCAGGACCCTGCAAGACGTCAGAACACAACAGTGGCATCCAGGAGAGAACAGGCAGATGGGGAGGGGAGAACACTCGTGTGACTCTTCACTTATGGTTCCTGGGGCCTCTAAGGTGTCAGGTCTTTGTGTGACAGAGCTAAGCGAGAGCCAGGACAAGCCTCAGAAGCCGCTGTTGTAGCTGGGTAGTCTGACCTGGAAACGGCCAGTCAGAACTAAGTCTGAGAAAAGCAGGATTCAGGGATACGAGAGAGCCTGTCCCTGGAGAAGTCAGGGGGGGCTTCTTGGAGGAGGGAACATTCGAGTGGGATCTTGCTGGATGAAGAGAAACTTGTTGGGGGCAAAAAAAGACGTTCCAGACATGCACCCCAAAACACTCTGAAACAGGACCTGGCCTTGTGCTGACTAGGAAGAGAGCCCTGAAATTTACATCAGACTGAGGGCCCTCCCTGGAAGGGGTCCAGGCCAGCGAGACAAGAAGGCAGTGACACGGGTGGCCAGAGGACATGTGGCCTGGAGGATGACCCGGCCAGAAGCCTCCCACGCTCACTGGCGGGCACGGGGCAGGGACATGCAGATGGTCTGCCCGCCCGAGCTGCTGAGTGTGGGGAGCGGCACCACACCAGGCCCAGCAGCGAGGAAAGCCCTGGGCCGAGGGAACAGGCTGGGACACGGCAGAGGCAAAACCCAAAGTATTTTCAAAAAGTGAGTTTTCTGTGTGTAAGTTGTGGTGGGAGCTCAATCAGGAGCCAGACTGCAGTGTGAGGGAGGCCGGAGCGGGCAGGCTATGGACATGGAGCGGGCTGTGAGCTGGTGGGCGGAGCGGCTCAGGCCATGGCTGGAGGCGAAGCTGGGGGCTAGGAGGCGGCTGGGGTGAGGGTCCAGGTAAGGGGAGGTGATGCTTGTCGTCCGAGTAGAAGGAATGAATCCCCCCGAAATGTCAGATGTACGACCTCGTCCCCAAGAAGCGTCAGGCCAGACCGATCCCAGCTCTTACCTTTGGGGGTCTCATTCAAAGTCTCTTTGGGTGTAGAATGGTCACATTCTGGGAAGGGCACGGGCGGGGGAGAGCAGACAGTGCTAGACAACTTCACATTCTTGGACGAGGCCTCAGAACCGGCCTTCAGTGCTCTCCGAGAGCCTAGAGAAAGGCAGGCCCAATGCAGACTGGAGTTAACAAGGAGCCAAAGGCCAGAAGCGCTGGGGCCATATTCACCCGCTCTCCTCCCTCTGGCCTCTGGCCCGTGCAACCAAGTCTTGCTTGGCCCCCACCTAAATATCTGGGCGAACAGTTCCTCCCCTTTAGCTATTCTTTACTCCACGGGTCTGAGCTTCTCCTTAGTCTTCCAACACTGTGCTTTCTTTGAGGTAACTTCTTCAGTTCTCTCTTCCAGTTTGCTATTTTCGCTTCAACCGTGTCTAGTCTACAGCCTAAACCATCCAATGAGGTTGCCGGAGCGATCGTTTATTTGTGTTGTTAGAGCTTCTGCTCGGTTCCTTTTCAAATCTGCCCCATTGTATCTTCAACCTTTTATATCTTTAAACACATGAAATGGACCAAGCACATATTCTCGTTTGTTGCTAGGCCTCTGGTCACTGCAGTCTGATTCTGCAGTTCTGGCTTTACCTTGTGTCTTTGTGGACTGGCTGGGAGCTCACGTGCCTGTGGGAATTCTCTGAGATCTCTTTAAAGGATGTTTTCCAAGAAAAGATACACTTCTCCTGGGGAGGGGCACCCACACATCATCACTTTACGTAACTTACATTAACTGCGGCGTTTTGCGAGGCCACATGGATGAGGATGGACTGGCCCCAACTGGTGGGGATGTGAGCTCTTGGGTGAGAGTTCTCGGAGAGGGCATTCTCAACTAAGGTTGATATAGAGACAAATGTTCCAAAATGTTCTCTGTGGAGCAACTTTTTGGGCCCTCGGGGAAGTGAGCATGCTTTCATTCATCACTGATATCTGTGCCCGGCTTTCCACTGGCCAGGACCTCCTGCTGACATGTCATTCCTTGCCACAGTCCACCAGTACGGCTTCTCCGCCCCCAACTCTAAGAGTGGGGTCCTGCATGCTGTCCAGAGAGCAGGTCCTAACCACAAGTCTGCACCATTCACAAACCATGATACACTCTTGTCCTTATGCAGCGTAAAGAAAAGCAATGTAAGTAAAACACTGCATTTAATGCCGACGCTTACAAGGACACAGACGCAGTGGGAAACCGGAGAAGACACACAGCAAAAACATCAGTGAGAGCAGATGCAGGTGGAGCAGGGTGAGGGGAGAGGAGATGGTAGAAGTGCTCAAGTCAGCACTGACTTTATTGTGTTTATTTATTTATGCACATAAGAACTGGGGTACAGGCCAGAAGTTCAGGGGGTGAGAGGATTCACCAGAGAAGAGAGTGGGGAGCAGAACAGGTGGATCTACTGAGATACACTGCTGAGGGAGCAGCGGAGACAGGAGGGGTCTGCTGTGCCCTGGGGTCCCTCCCTGGCCGGGGAGCCAACGTGAGCTGCAGAGGCTGCAGACAGCTTCCCAATGCTGAGACCTCACCCCTGCCCCACCAGGGGAAGCCTAGCACTGATTTTAAAGGGAGGGCTAACAAGGTTTGCTGGCGCAGAGCTGTGTGTGGGCGCATGTGTGTGCTGAGGACTTAAGGACGAGTCTAAGGCTTGGCCTGAGAGGCTGGATACTCGACACGGCTGTGCGGAACAGGGAGACCTACTACAGGCGGGCAGGTGGGGGGCAGTCACTGCCGGAGCTCAGTTCTGGGTGCCAGGCTGCCAAGAGCACGTCCAGCAGATACCACGCAGGCAAACCTGTGGTTCTTACCTCGGAAGGACGCCACACGGGGCGTGACGGAGGTCTGCGCCCCCTCGTGCTCCTCTGTAGGCAAAGGTTTCCCACAGTAAGGGCAGAATCTGAATGCTGCTTTGATATTTTTGCCACAGTTTGGACAGAAGGTAATCATGCTAGAAAGAAAGGGGGAGGGTCAGGAAACTGAGAGAGCGCGAGGCTCAAATCACGCAGTAGTGCAGTCACCCGAGTCCCCAGATTGGGGACACCGCAAAAGGGAGAGAAGTTAGCAGAGCCCGGACCCCCTTCTTAAGTTGTTTTCCGTAAGCCAAGCCTCTGGCCACCTCCTGCCCTGCTGGCTGTGTGGCCCAGAGCAGAACTGAAGCTGCAGGTCTCCCCGAAGCTGAAGGGCCTGAGGTCACTGGAAGGCAGGTCGGAAACTGTCCCCACTTCAGAAGCAGCACTGAGCGGGCACTTGCACTGCTGGGGTGTCTGGTGGCAAAGCCAAGGCAAGGAGAAGCCAGGGGCGCTTACAGCTCTGCCGCGGGCTCAGTCTGCTCGGGGGACGCTCTCTGGGGCAGGGCAGAGGACTGGGCCATGCGTCAGCCTGGGAATGCTTGTTCTTCTTCTCTCTTCTCGTGTAGGGGCTGTTATTACTGTTTCATCCTGCACTTATTTTTCATTGTGTCCTGTAGCCTTACTCACCCAGTGAGGACCCACCAACTGCGTCACCCCGTCCGCCCCAGAGTGAAATGTGGGAGTAGCAATCTGTGTCGGAGTAGCAGCACCAAGACTCCGATTCCCAAAGGAGCCGGCTGTTGCAGGGAACAGGATGGGGCGGGGGGCTGTGTGCACAGTGGGGGTGAGTGTACCTTTACGGGGTCCCAGCTGGCCCTTGGATTCACTGTGCTTGCAACTGCATCTTAACAGTGACCTGCAAGTGAAGAAAGGTGGAGAGGCTGACTCAGGTGCACCCCGTGAGCGTGTACGTGAAAGACAGCAGTGAATGTTTAATGAGCATCGTTGATGTGACCTGCGAGTGCTAAGCTCATTTATTCAGGCACTACGCCCGCAATGGCGATGCAGCAGCAAAGGAAAGAAACAGGACGCGCCCTGGCCGAGTGGGAAAACAAGACAATATACAGAGGAACGTGAAAATGTTTAACAGGTCAGGCGGGGGTGGCGCCCCATCACTGCTCCATAAATGTGGGCGGCGCCGCAGTCTAAGGTCACCTGGCCGTCCCGGGCTTAAACGGGAAACATTCAGGCTAGTGTGTCTTCCTCATCCATTATGCATTCGCCAAGCATTTACTGATCGTGGGCTCCGTGATGCGGGTCGCGTCCCTCGGGGAGGCTCCGAGACAGCACCGCAGGAGCCCCAAGGCTGGGCTCCCGCTGGCAGTTGCCTAGGTGACCGCGACACGCCCTCCGCGCCGCGCCCGCCGAAACCAGCGGAGACGCAGGGCTAAGGCGGGGCACCTGTCAAGCTCTCCCCAAGCTCCGCCCGCCTCCCCACGAGCCCGCCCCCGAGCCCAGCGTCGCTGGCCAGCTGGGCCTGCTGGGTCCCTCCCCAGGCCCGAGCCGCCAGGCCCCGCCTCCCGCAAAGGGGTGGCTGACGTCACACTGCGGCTGGCCAACGGCCCTCCCCTTGCTCCTCCCCTCGCTCCCGGACTCGGTGAGCAGGGTGGCGCCCCAGGTGTCGGCGGTCAGAGCCTCCGGTCGTCGCGGGGACTGGGACTCACCTTCTCGGCTGCCCCGCGGAAACTTCCGCTGGGGCGGGGACGGCTGCGCGCGCATCGTCGGCCCTGAGGCAAGACTGCGCCCGCGCAGACGCCGCAGCACCTCCCGACTGCCCCCGGGCTGTGCCCTACTTTGGAACTCCATCTCCCAGACGCCTTCGCGACACGCCAGCCTTCGGACTCGTAGCCGGGGGAGGGATTATTCCATCATCATCCATCCTCATTGGGACGCGTCTAGGTTCTATTGCGCATGTGCTAGAGTGGAGCCAATCGTAAGAAGCGGTAAACTTTGAAGCGCTTCTCCGCCAATCGGGCAGAGGCCATTATTTCGCTCCTCCGGCCTCAACTCCGCCCCTTTTGTCCGGTCACCTTCCCAGGAACTCAACGTCCGCCTCAAAGCGTTCCCATGACAATCTCCAGTTGTCTCTTTCAGCTATGGACAAGCCTCCCAGTTTTCTAGAAAAGGCGAGAGGTGCCGTTCAGGTTGTCCTTCAGGGTAAAAGCTGGACCACAAAACTCAGCTGCCCCCTGACTTCGATTCAGTCTGTTTGTTTCCCAGAGTGCACAGCGGGACCTCCGAGAACCAGGAAGCGAAGGGACGACGGCCGCAGAGCCTTATGGGAATCGGAGTCCGGGCCCTGGCGCGGAGACTCCTGGGGGAGTGGCGGAGGATCCTGGGAGGAGGCTCGCGCGCGCTCCGAGGTGGCAGCGCCGAGGCGCGTGTGAGCGGTTTTGGGTGTCCGGCTGTCTCGGGGCGGGGTCACGTCTGTTAAGCCAGCGGACTGCGGTCTCGAGGTGAGGCGACGCCGAGGCCGGGAGCGCCGAGGACTCCGGAGGCTGGGGCGCCGCGTCCTTCCTGGGGGGCGCCGCCACGCCTGGGGGGCGACGTCGGCGACGGCGCGTCGCGATGGGGCTCCCGGCGGAGTCTTGCACCCCTGCCCGCGAGGGGCCTGGCTCTTCGCAGGTGGTTTCCGGCCCTCACCGCAGCCCTGAGGCGGCTCGATTTATTTTGTTGTTGGTTGAGAAACTGAGGCTGAAAGGGGCTGAGCTGCCTGAAGCCGTGGCGGGGCCGGCCAGACCTTCGGGACGCGGGACCCCGTCGGGGGGGCCAAGCATTTGGCCACTCGCGGGCAGCCCCCACTGTGCGCCAGGCCCGCCTTGGTCTTGCGTTTTCTGCCTTATCCTAGGCGACAGCGGAGAAATATTCAGTGCAGCCCGTCGAATTGTTGGATACCCCGTGGCACCACGGTCTGCTGGGAAACAAGCTTTTTAGATTTTAGAATGTCAGTCGGGCACATATTTCATAATCAAGCACCCTCCGGGGCGATCCGGGACAGCTCTTGGAAATCAGTTTCTCAAGCAAGGCGCGAATATTCACACCGGAAGGAATCAAGACCGTCTCTACCCTGTGGCAAATTTTGGGTTAAGTTTACCACCAATTTGTGGATACAGGTCTGGATTCCAGAGCCTGTTGGTTTTGAGAATTGCAGACCTGTTTGTTTGCTCTTTTGGACCTGTGGAAAATGAAGTGCAAAGAGGGTCACCCTGCCTTCAGACTCGGGAGTTTTCAGCTCCCTATTTGTTGGGTTCAGGTCACTGAACCCTGGGTGACCTGGAGCGTCATTCCAGCCCCTCCCAGGGCTGGGAGTGTGTGGGAAGTGGACCCTATGCAGACAGGTTTTAACTCAGCTGAAGAACCAAACCTGTCAGGGGTGAGGGCAGTAGGGGACTGGAGTGTGCTTCCCCATCGAAGAGGGGAGCTTTAAATGGGTTTAACTCTCTAAAGCCATGGGAATGCAGCCCTGGAGCTGCAAGCTGTAGAATGTTTCCTAGGCAGGAAGTAGACTAGAATTGGTAGGTGAAATTTCCCACTTCAGAGAGTCTTCCTTCCAAGCCCTGCCCGCCACCAGCGGCCACTGGAAAGCCGCAAGTAAGGTAGACTTGTTCTGGTTTAGCATCTTCCCTTCTCAGCGGTCACAAAATCTTGAAAACTCAAAATCAAACATTTTTACAGGTTCCTGACCAGACTGTGATATATACACGTTAATCTTCCTCCCTAGGTCTCTGTTCCCTCTTGGCTCTGGAAATACCGGCGGGTTCCGTTGCAGGATGCTCCCTGCCCCGCGCTGCACGGCCGCCCTTGATCATAAACATCATAAGCCAACGTGTTGAGAGCACGTCACCTCCCCCGCTGAGACCTCGAGTGGGCCACACGCACGCTTGTGCACGCGCCCTTCACACGCGGGCCCCTTTTACCTGCCCCCCCCCACTGGTATCCACTCATTTGGTCGGAGAGTCTGAGCATAGGTTTTGTTCACTGTGATTTCAGTGAAGCTCAGCCAGCAACCACATGGGTCACTTTTTCAAAATCTGGACATGTTTTGAATTTCAAATTTTATCTGCTCCAGAGGCCTAAGCATTGTGGCCCCTGTGCTCGCTGCTTTGTGACAGGGAATGCTTTGAATGTTCCAGACTCCTTGGGAAATATGGCGGCTGCAGATGTGTGGGGAAAACCCACGGTCTGGTGCTTTGCTTTTGTAGTTCTGTATAATAACCTGTGTTGCCGGGGGAGTGCGGCTCACTGGTCAGTGGCCTTTTTTTTTTTTCCCCCACAAAGTAAAAAAGAGACCAGAATAGAAAGCTGCTCGGTGCTGCCTGCCTGGTGGGAGCGGAGAGCAGTGTCGCGGAGCTTTCCTTTCGCTCCATCTGTGCGTGAGGAGCCCTGTTGATGGAGGCTCCCTTCGTTGCTGTGGGTCCTGCATAGCGGTTTGGACACTGGTTGAAATCCTAGAGCTGATCACCAGGATGCCCAGGAATGTGGCCTTAGAGGCGAAAGATGTTTTGTTCTGTTAAAGCTATAGAAAAAGCACCTGCTGTGGCCAGGCACCGTGCTGTGCCGACACTGGCGAGCCAGACCAGGTCCCTCAGGGATGCTAGAGCCTTGTGGCCGACTCCCGAGCGCTCCGCTGCTCGCGCTGAGGACGCTGGTCACGCGGCTGGCGGGCTGCGCCGTGGAACTGAGGGCCTGGGGGTTTCAGTAAACGCAGTTGTGGTTCTCGCAGGGACCTGGACCGTTCTCCTACCTGGAGACACTTTGGAGGAGCATCCAGCATGGCCAGGGAGTCAGCCCTAGGAGGAAGAGAGGCTTTCCCCCAGCTCTCTTGTCCTTCCTGCAGCCCTGCCGGCCGGAAACGTGGTGGGAAAGGAGGGGGAGCTTAAGCCAGGACTCTGACCCCCAACCCCCAGCTGGCTATGACTGAGGTGAGTCTAGGGGTCTCTGTCCTAACCCATCATCCCCAGAGGCTAGAGCTGCCTCTTTGGTGTCAGCAAAACTGCGTTCCTGGTGGGCCCTCCCTGGTGGTAGACTGGGTTAAAGCTGTCCGCAGCCACTGCAGCATGAGTTTGATTCCTGGCCAGGGAGTGACCCACGGGACGCAGCAGAACTTTTCGGTCTCCCCGCTGCTCCCCTCAGCAGTGGGTTTCAGTCGATCTGCCTGTCTGCTCCCCACTCTGTCTCTGGTGACTCCTCTCATCACCCCTGTATTTCTTGCTTGTACCCCAGTTCTAAATGCATAAATAAATAAATCTTTTAAAAAAAATAAAACTGCATTAGGGCCCTCCCTGGTGGCGCAACGGGCTAGGACGCAGCACTGCAAACTCACTGCATCTGCTTCAGTGCAAGTTCGATCCCTGCCCCAGAGGTGACTCACAGGGTGCAGCAGACCTCTCCTGACCCGCCCGCTGCTCCCCTCAGCAGTGTACTTCGTCGATCTGCCTGTTCTGCTCCCCACTCTGTCTCTGGTGAAGCCTCTCGCCGCCCCTGCACCTCTGGCCTGTACCCCAGTTCTATATGCATAAATAAATAAATCCTTAAAAACAAAACAAAACAAAACCGCATTACCAGTAATACTGAGTTTTGGCAGGTGGGGTCAGATGGTGGGGACTAACCAGTGAAAAAGAAAGGGGAGGGAGAACGATTGTAAGTGGACAAAGGTCAGCAGGGACTCAAACTGGCGGATGATCCATGGGTCTGCTCTGTGTAGCTGTGCTCGCCTGTGACAGAGGTCACGTCTTCAGGTGTGAGCAGTCACTACGAGAAGGCAACACCAGCCTAGATGGACTTTGGGGTCAGCCAGCCTGGACTTCAGCCTTGCATGGGGCCTGGGCGCCACCGTGCCTGCTCCAGGACACCGTCCTGGCCCGCAGAACACAGGGCTGTCCACTCTTAGGAGTCCAGGTTCCCACGAGATGACCTTTGCCACAGCCCTGGCACCTGAGTGCCGGCTGGGCGGGGGCGGAGAGCCATCGGCCCTGGTGCCCGGCCTTGCAGTGACGGACAGACGTTGCATTTCAGGAGTCTGTGACCCTAAAGGACGTGGCCATGGACTTCACCCTGGAGGACTGGGAGCAGCTGGGGCCGGATCAGGGGGACCTGTTCTGGGACACGGCCCTGGACAACTACCAGAATCTCTTCCTGCTCAGTAAGTGCCACCCCTAGCCTGGGGACAGGCGGCCTCTGCCCTGCGAGGTGCCACCGTGGCTCCCATCACCCGGGGCACCCCCTTATCAGTTAGGGAAGGCCGGAGTCGATGTTGGGAGGCGAAATTGGGGTTCCCAGACACCAGCCTTGTAGCCGTGTTAGCCTGCAGGCCGTGGTGCCGCTCACTGGGCCTGACCGCCTGCACGGGTCCCGGGCGGCGCCAGGGCACGTCGCCCAGCTCCCCGTTCGTGTCCCTGTCAGCCTGGCGGACTCACTTCCCCGCCTGGTTCCTCAGGCCTTCTTTCCCCAAAAGCAAAGTAGTAATTACGAAAATGAAAAAAGCTTGCACACCTGAAACTCCCGTGCTGCGACTGCCACTGACTGCGGCTGGTGGCCCCCCAGCTGCCGAGGGCCCCCGCGCAGCTCGGGCCGGCGTGGGTGGCTTTCTGGCTGCTGGGCCGCCGTCGCGGTAGAAGCACTCACCTTCCCTGCAAGCCCGATGGCGGCCTGCAGCCCAGCAGGCTGGGGTGCCCCCGCGAGTGCCGGGTCCCCGCTCCCGGTGCCGCCCCCACAGGCGCCCCAGCTGGGGCAGACGCTTGAGACGGGCACGCCCAGCCCGCCTGGAGCGCTCCAGAGTGAGGTGCGGCAGGCGGGGCGCTGACGCTCTGGAGCGGGTCTCGCTTCTCACACCGGGGGCGGCCCCAGCAAGCCCCCCACCTGCCCCCCCTTCTCACGCCGGGGGGCGGCCCCAGCAAGCCCCCCACCTGCCCCCCCTTCTCACGCCGGGGGGCGGCCCCAGCAAGCCCCCCACCTGCCCCCCCTTCTCACGCCGGGGGGCGGCCCCAGCAAGCCCCCCACCTGCCCCCCCTTCTCACGCCGGGGGGCGGCCCCAGCAAGCCCCCCACCTGCCCCCCCTTCTCACGCCGGGGGGCGGCCCCAGCAAGCCCACCTGTGTCCCCCTCCCACGCACACAGCCCTGGCTAGACTCTGCCCCTTGCTGGAGGGTCTGAGGTCACCAGCCTGGTCCTGGAGCCCGGGGGGGGGCTGCGTGTCCATAGCGGGGGGGGGCACGCCTGGGCCCCTCCGCGGGCAGCCTGCTCGCCGCTTCTGAGCCCCTCCGGGTGCTGGTGCCCGACCCGGCTGTGGCGCGCTGCCCTGCTCTGCTCTGCTCTGCCTGGGTCCCTCGGCCAGACCAGGAGCCCAACGGGGCCGCAGCCCTGGCGCCCAGGAGCGCACTCGGGATGAGCGTCTGCCTGTCAGGAGGCCACGGCTCCGCTGGAGGTGCCCCCACATCCTGGTGGATGACAGTCTCTGTCCCCACAGACCCCCCCAGACCCAGTCTGACTGCCCACCTGGACGGTGCGAAAGAGCTGGATGCGCAGCCGACAGGAAGCCTGGAAGCCGCGGGCCCAGGTGAGAGGTGGGGAGGGGCCCCCCATGCCCACGGTGAGGGCGGTGAGGTCCTTTGGGTGCGCTTTGTCCTCAGAACTTCATCCAGATCTTGCAACACCCACATTCTGGAGTTGACACCCCACTCACTGGCTTCTGTCCCCTGCTTCCCGGGAGCTGCGTGCCCGCCTGTCCCTTCTGCTCAGCCTTCAGTTCTTCTCTCTCCGCGAGCCCTCGGACTCAGCAGGGGGGCGCCTCTGTCGCCTTCTTCCTGTGCCTCTGAGCGCCATATCCCCCAGGCTACTGGCCCCACTTGGCCCTTGGGCCACAGGAGCCGCCTCATCTGTTAACTCGTGCCTGGCCTGACTGTCCTCTCCCAGGCCCAGGCCCTCCTGGAGGCTCAGGTCAGGGAGCGGGGAGTCCCAGCGACTCCCCTGTCCAGACAGCCCCAGGGGGAGAGAGCAGAGACGGGCCTTCCCCCGCAGGGGGAGCAGAGACCGGCCTTCTCCAGCACGGGAGGCTTTTCCTGGCTCTGGATCTCTAGCTAGCCCGAGGGAGGGGCCCTCACGGGGAGGCCACAGACACGGCTGACAGTTGGTCTCAGCTGCCTGCCGGCTGGCAGGGGCACTCAAAGGAACCGTCGAGGACCCTGTGGCTGCGGCCTCCGGCTCCTGACACGAGTGTGGCTTCCCACAGGGGTGACCAAAGGTGTCTGCGGCCGGTCACCCCGCCCCTGAGCAGCATGAGTCCCGCGGAGAGTCCCGGGCCTCCTGGTGCCGGCTGCCCTCCTGAAACAGCTCTGCTCCTGGGGATGCCGCAGCCAGGTCACACCCTGGGCCTTCTCCTTTGCCCGTGACAGATGGGCTGCACTCGCGAGTGGCTGCTGTCTCTTCACCCTGGGCGACAGGAGCCATCGGCACTTTCTTCTCTTTCAGATGTGGCTGAGGCCAAGACCTCTCTGCCGCAGGACTTCGTGGAGGGACTGTCCCTGGGGATGGTGGGCACGTTTCCCGTGGAGGACCTCATGAGCCCCAGCCCGGGAGAAGCCGGCACGGGCGAGAGCTGGCTGGCTAGTTTCCTAGAAGATCCGGAGAGCGTCCTGAAGTCTGACGCTGTCACCAGGGGCAGCCCCACGGAGCGCAAGAGTCACAGATTCTGGAGAGGCCCGAGTCCCCAGCCCCTCCTGTTCACAGGCGAGGATTTCATGCTGCACGGCCTGCCCGAGCGGAGCCCCGCAGCAGCCCGGTCTCCGGGGTGTGGGAGCGCCGTGGGCCGCCGCTCGGGCGGGGCCCAGCCCGACGGATGCAGTGAGCGCGGGACGGGCTTCGGCCAGAGTCACCACCTCAGCCAGCCCTGGGCCCCGCGCCCGCGGGAGAGCCCGGCCCCGCCCCAGGAGGGCCAGAGCCCCTGCCGCCTGCTGCCCCTGCCTCGGGCGGGCTACAGAGCCTGCGTGTATGACACACACGGGCAGGAGCTCCGCCCGGAGACGCGCCTGAGGCAGCAGGAGGCGCGCTCTGGAGAAACCCCCCCGGAGAGCACGAGCAGGGGGCACGCCGCGGGGCCCGGCCCGCAGCTGGCGGGGCTCCCGGACGCGCACCGCAGCGCCACCGAGCAGTGCGACGAGCCCCGGGACAGTCCCGGCCGAGCCGTCCGCCTCGGCCCGCGTCGGAAGACCCCCGCTCGGCCGCGCTACGGATGTGCCGAGTGCGAGGCCACCTTCAGCCTCAGGACGCGCCTCCTCCAGCACCAGAAGAGCCACGCGCGGGCGGCCCCCGAGCGGCAGGAGCCCGGCGGGGCCCGGCCTGTGCCCGCAGGACAGGAGGAGCCTCATGCGTGTGACAAGTGTGGGAAAGCCTTCAGCCACGCCTCAGCGCTGAAGACCCACCAGCGGGCCCACGGCGGGGAGAAGCCGCACGCGTGCGGCGAGTGCGGCAAAGCCTTCTCCCGCGTCACGCACCTGCGCGAGCACCAGCGGGTGCACACGGGCTACCGGCCCCACAGGTGCCAGCAGTGTGTCAAGAGCTTCAGCCGGCCCTCGCACCTGATGCGGCACCAGGCCACCCACGCCGCAGAGAAGCCCTACGGCTGCCCCCAGTGCAAGGAGGCCTTCGGCTGCCGCGAGCACCTCGCCCAGCACCAGCAGGTCCACGCTGTGGAGACGCCCTACGAGTGCCAGGAGTGCGGCGAGCGCTTCACCTGCCGCTCCACCCTCACCTGCCACCAGAGCCTTCACGCCAGGGGGCCGCCGGGGGGCGACGGGGGCCGGGACTCCGCGGGTCAGGCCCCAGGCCTGAGGGAGCCTCTGAGGATCGAGGCGAAGTGCTTCAAGTGTCAGACGTGCGAGAAGACCTTCAGCTGCCGGAAGTACCTGAGCCAGCACGAGCGGATTCACACCAGGGCGAAGCCCTTTGGGGGCCCCCGGGCGGGGGAGGCCGCTGGGCAGAGCGCGCGGCTGGCCGGCCAGCCGGGGACCCGCTCGGGGCTGCACGAGTGTGGGCGCTGCGGGAGAGCCTTCCTGCGCGGCGCCTCCCTCGCCAGGCATCAGGCCGTCCACACCGGCGAGCGCCCCTCTAAGAGCGGCTCCCGGCGAGGCGCCCCCCTGCCAGGGCGCGCGGAGAAGCCCTTCAAGTGCAGCCAGTGCGACAGGGCCTTTGCCCACAGCCACTACCTCAGTCAGCACCAGAAAGCGCACGCCGGGAGGACCTACGAATGCCAAGCGTGCGGGAAGAGGTTCCAGCAGAACTCGTGCCTGACGAAGCACCAGAGAATCCACACGGGCGAGAAGCCCCACGTGTGTGGCGACTGCGGAAAAGCCTTCGGCCTGGGCGCCCGGCTCACGCGGCACCTGCGCGTCCACACCAGGGCCAAGCCCTACGTCTGTCAGCAGTGTGGGAAAGCCTTCAGCCAGAGCTCGTGCCTGGCCGTGCACCTGCGGGTGCACACCGGGGAGAGGCCCTACCTGTGTGCCCAGTGCGGGAAGGCCTTCACCCAGAAGGCCAACCTGACGCAGCACGAGAGGACGCACAGCGGGGAGCGGCCCCACACCTGCGACGTGTGTGGCAGAGCCTTCAGCCTCGGCGCCCACCTCACGCAGCACCGCAGGATCCACACCCAGGAGAAGCCGTACCAGTGCCAGCACTGCCAGAAGGCCTTTCGCTGCTGCTCGGGCCTCAGCCGGCACCAGCGGGGCCACACTCAGCCCTTGCCCTAGTGGCCCTCTCCCCGTCGGGCGGGGGAGGGCGCCCCAGACCCTGGCGCAGGTGGCTAAGGCCGGAAGTTGGAATCCTCTCCTGGCGAGCCTCCCCTCCCTCAGCAGCATGTCGGTGTCAATAAAGGTTGGTCACGAGTTTCCGTTTCATTAAGACAGTGGAAGCACAGAAACGGACAGGGCCGGGGGCAGAATTCAGCGGTGGGCGCCAGTGTCCACCGAGCTGAAGCCCAGCTAAATCTTCCTGGGCGGCCTGGGCAGAGTCACCGGTCCGCATCTGTAAAATGGGCATGACGACACTTGGCCCACCTCGGGGCCCTTTGAGGGCTGATGCAGAAGCACGAGGCCCCAGCACCCAGCATGTAGCACGTGGCCAGGTGGGCGCAGGAAGCCGTGGGGGGACGGAAGCGGCCTTGTGGTTCCAGCGGAAGAACTGGCCGTTGTGACGTGCTGTGGGTAATGTTCTTCCTGATGTTCACTCCCTGTGGCTGCCGACATGTTTCTCCAAAACGCGCTCTGCTTAATTCAGTTCCGAGAACCCAACTTCCTTTTCTCAGTCAAGTCTTTTCGTCCCTCCCTCCATCTCCGCTCTACTTTTTGCTTGCTTGACCCACAGAAAGCCAAGAAGGGCTATTAACCTGACGCCAAGGGGCGAGCAGCTTCTCCCAGGCCCCTCCCCATTACATGCCACCTCTTACCTTAACCCCCTTAAAGGTGTCGCTCAGCACGGGACTGGGATTAGCGGCGGGTCTGGAGAGTCGGGAGCTGGGGGGCACGTGCTGCTCCCCGGGGGCTCTGCTAGGTATCACGGCTGGGAATAAAATCCTGCCTTTGCCTCGAAGCTTCTCACACTGAAGAGATCAGTGACCCTGATCTGTTTTCAGGGGCTCCATTTTCGTGGATAAGTAACATCTTCAGCTACCACATTGCTCACATCACAGCAAGTTCTGGGAACCCAAGGGTGCAAACCCTCACTGGAAGCCTGGGATCCACCACTCACCTTGGCTGTGCCCAGAGAGTCTCAAGAACCCCGAGAGCAGCCCCCTCTGTGGCGGCGCCTCACTCCGGCTCCTGCATCCTCTCGGGCCCGGGAGCTGCTCGCTGCCGAAACAGACAGGCATGGTGAAGACTGAGACGCTGACACCTTGAATATCTCGTGACTGGTGCTAAGACATTTTAGGGGTGTGCTTGACACTGGCAGCCTCACAGCTGCTTAGCTTCGTTGCAGCCAGGGACGTGTTGGGCCCACGGTGGGACGCAGGCTGCTGGCCACGACCCAGCATTTAACCCCCTGCCCGCGGGGCCCGCTGTGTGCCAGTGTGGCAGGCGGGCAGAGGAGGGGTTCGCTTTGATAAGCCCATTGAGTGTGTTTTGAGACCCCAAGATAGAGATCGAGGCTGGTGGGAGATTGGCAGCCTTGGGGCGGCTGTGGGGACAGAGGCCTGTCGCTCGTGGAGAGGGGCCCTCTCTGTGTGGCTGGTGGAGAAATGCTGTCGTACGTGTGCTGGTTCTCTAATTAAAGTTTTGAGTCTAAAGGCAGAAGTTGCTTCTTTGAGCTCACGCCAGGCACCGGGCCAGACGCTGGCGAGCGCAGGTCCTGCCTGCCATGGGTGCCTGTGGCGGGGCTTGTACTGGGAAAGGGAATGCGTGGGCCACGGCCACCGTTCAGCTGGCCCTGAGATGGGGCGTCGGTCACGCCACAGGAGGCCCCCACGGACGGCGTGTTGTCCGCTCCCCACTCTCAAAGACGTGGCCCAGCTCTGGCCGCAGTCGCAGCTGGAACTGTATTATTTTCCTCAGGGTGGTTATTTCAACCCTCCTGTCCCCCTTCACGTTGACCCCACCACAGCTGCACCTCACATCTGCAGCCTCTGGAGCAGTGAGAAACTGCAGGGGCCGCACAGCGATGCTGCAGGGCAGCCCCCGCGGGTTGCCAGCCAGGTGCTGCTAAGCCACAGGGACACCTGAGGGCGTCTTGTCAGCGTGTGGAGGTCGGGGTGTGGCCCCTGACACAGCCCCAAGAGAAGAAGCTGTTTAACAAGCGTCTCTGCAAGAAGGGTCCCAGGCACAGGGCAGGGCGGCAGCACAGGCACCTCACAGACCTGGTGCATCGGGAACAGCAGGCCAGCAGGGCGGCGCTGTCGGAGGAGGGGCGGGGGGCGTGGGGTGTTGCCTTTCACTGGGGGGATGCGGTGCTGCTGCAGGGCTTTGGGGGGGAGGTGACTTAAAGGGCCATATTTTCCAGCAGGACTCCCTGAACTGCTCTGTTGTGACAAGACCGACTAGGGACAGGGGTAGAAATTGGGGGGCAGTGAGCAGGCACCTAAAATAGTCGGGGAAAGAAGGATGGTGGGAGTGCTGGAGAGGTGAGAAGCGGCTTGATGCGACGGTTGAAAGAAGAGTTGGTTACTGGGTGTGAGGGGAGGGGTAGGACAAACAGGTGCTGGCTTCGTGTTGCGCTGTGGCAGCCGTGGAAGGGAAGCCCAGGGCGGCCACTGGGCCACCGCGAGGGGAGACCCTGCTGGGAGTGAGCTTAACCAGGGACGGCGGACCTGACACGTCACCTGGATACAGCTGTGCCTGAAGGCCGGAACTTTTCAATTCCATCAGTCTATAAAATACGGTTTGCTTCTTCATACCACAAACCATAAAAAAGCAAAATGTAGAAATCTAAATGATCCTGGGACTCAGGAAAGCCTTTTTCCAGCATGCTACTAAGTCTGATTACTACAAAAGACCACACAAACAGATCTGCATATCTAAACATTTTTGAGTTCTGAATAGCAAACTACACCACAAAATTGAGAGGGAAATAAAAACAGAAAATATTAATAACATATATGCTGAAGGATTAATATGTGTTAATATATAGAGTTGCTCCTATAAGTCAATACAAAAAGGTAGCCCAATTAAAACTAGGCAAAGAGCATAAAAAGGCAGCCAAAGAAGACAAAACATCAATAAACTCACCAACATTTCATTAATCTCACAATTAATCTCTGATCTGCCTGTCCTGCTCCCTACTCTGGTAAGGCCTCACACCCCCACATCTCTAGCCTGCACCCCAGTTCTTAATGTGCATAAATAATTACTTTTTTTAAAAAGCAGTATTCATAGTTGGGAAAATTCACCCTGTAGCAGTCAGTACAAAGTCTAAAGAGGGGTTGGGCTTAAACGCCAGTCCACAGTCATTGATGAGATATGATAAGCTCGAATAATACTGAGTAAGAGGTGTGTGTGGGGACAAGGGGAAGTGCTTTTTTTCCAAAAAGAGAGAAGCCAATATTATTTCTACACTGATTACAACGAAATAAAATAACATTTATTTTCAAATATTTGGATGGAAACATGAAAAAATAAAAATAGGTCTTGTAGGTGAAGGCAGGACTTTTGCTTTTTATTCAAAAAGGTCAGTATTTAAAATTATGACTGATGGTGCAGGGGTTAAGTCTCAGCACTATGAAGCTGTCTGCAGCCCCTGCAGCATGAGTTCGATCCCCAGCCAAGGAAGTGACCCACAGGGTGCAGCAGACCTCTCCTGTCTCCCTATTCCTCCCCTCAACAGTGAATTTCAGTTGATCTGCCTGTTCTGCATTCCACTCTCTGTGGTGAATCCTCTCACCCCCCACATCTCTGGCCCACACCCCAGTACTTGTGTGCATAAATAATAATAATAATAAACCTTAAAAAGAATAAAAATATGGCTATGAAATAGAGTAAAACCTACCCAGAATGATTACAAACAACAGACAACCCTAAATGACTGCAGGGTCTCTCCAGTCTATAGAATTATGGGGAACTGGTTTTTAGTTCATACTTCTCTACATGTCCCAAATTATCCTTTTTTTTTTTCTTTTAAAGTGTGTTCATGAATCACGAGAGCTTGTTTTTTATTTATTTTTGCACAGAACTGGGTTGTAGGCCAGGGGACTCTACATGTCCCCCTGGTTGGGGATCGAACTCATGCCAGTGGCTGGTGATAGATTAACAGTGCTGAAACTTTAACCCTATCCCACTAGGGATGTTTTAAAGAGCAAAAATCCTGAAGATTTGTCAAAGATACTAACAACAGGATATAAAACATGGTGATAAGCATGTGAAGCAAAGTTGGTGTTTAACCCTGTAGATTGTCCAGTGACATTTGCAGCTTAAAACTTTGAGGAAAACAAAATCAGCCAGCAGGTGTTCAGTTATGTGTATCTGGAGACTTTTACTTGAATCTACAAATTTTCAGCTTCCAATTTGTGAATGATTAATACATAACAGTGACTCGAAGAGACCAGTTCTTATTAAAGATCACAGATGGAGATGCTTCCCATTTAGACCAGCCCCCGGACACCCCATTCTCTGTTTCAGGGTTGACAAACCCATTGGGGAAGCTCCTAATACGATCAGAAGCTGTCCCAGCAGACAGCTTCTGGGAAACAGAGAAACCAACTTTCAACATGTCGTAGTTCCTCCCCAGGAGGAAGTCAGTGTAGGTGGCAGTTAGCCAGAAGCTAACAGAACAGCCAGCATGTGCCGCACAGGCCTGCTCGTCTGTGGGAGTTGTCTGACAGTTACCAAGCTGCAGGCGTCAAGCAAAGGCCTTTTCAGCTTCACTGTAGACACAGGTATTCTGCACAGTGTGAAGTCGCCCGTGTTCAGCTAGGTGTGAACTCCAGCTGAAACCCTCTCCATGTTCTCTACACACAGTGTTTGTCATCCATATGAACTTTCTGGTGTTGTATGAGGTTTGAGATCTGGGCATAAGTTTTCCCACAGTGACATCTATAGGGCTTCTCTCCAGAATGAACTCTCTGGTGCTGGGTGAGGTGGATGCTCTGGCTGAAGGCTTTCCCACATTCGTTACAGGCGTAGGGTTTCTCTCCAGTGTGAATCCTCTGATGCTGAGTGAGGGAACTTGTGACTGAACATTTTCCCACATTGCCCACACTTATAGGGCTTCTCACCTGATGCTCAATGAGGTGGGTGCTCCAACTGAAGGCTCTCCCACACTCACCACACTCATATGGCTTCTCGCCGGTGTGAATCTACTGGTGTTGAATGGGGTGGGAAATCTGTGTATAAGCTTTCCCGCAGACCTTACACTCAGAGGGCTTTTCCTCCATGTGAATCCTCTGGTGGCGTGTCAGAGAAGAGTTCTGGCTAAAGGTTTTGCCACATTCATTACACTTGTAGGGCTTCTCACCGGTATGAATTGTCTGATGTTGAGTGAAGGACAAAGTGTGTCTGAAAGCCTTTCCACACTCATGACAGACATAGGGCCTCTCCCCCACGTGAATGCTCTGGTGCCGCATGAGGTGGGAGATCTGAGTGTACACTTTCCTGCACTCATTACACCAGTAGGGCTTCTCCCCAGTGTGAATCCTCTGGTTCTGGGTCAGGGATGAGCTGTGGCTGAAGGCTTTGCCACACTCAGGACACTCATAGGGTTTTTCTCCAGTATGAACACCCTGGTGCTGGGTCAGGGATGATCTGTGGCTGACAGTTTTCCCACATTCATTACATTTGTATGGCTTCTCTCCGGTGTGAATGGTCTGGTGCTGTGTCAGGGAGGAGGTGTGGCAGAAAGCCTTGCCACACTCCCCACATTGATAGGGCTTCTCCCCCATGTGGATCTTCTGGTGGCGGGTGAGATGGGAAACCTGTGAGTAGAACTTCCCACATTGATTGCATTTATATGGCTTCTCTCCAGTATGGCAGGGCTAGTGTTTGATGAGGGAGGAGCCCATGGCTCACAGTGATGGCCAGACTGGTGGGTGAGACTGGGGCCGCCAGGTCCGCACCCACCTGCACAGGTCACTCGCCGGGCTTCTCTCTCCTCCATCCCAGGCTCTTCCCCTCGCTCCAGATGGGAGATCATGTCGGGCTTAGACCGGGGAGTCCTGTCCCTGGAAAGGCAGGAGACAGCGTGGGTGTCAGGGCTGCAGGGAGGGCTGGTGTGCTGGGGGATGCGCTTGGGGCGGCCAGTGATCAAGCTTGTGAGGTCGCCCATCTGTGGGTCCTTCCAGAGACCGGCCCTGACCTCACCACGGAAGCCCTTTCTGTGATGCTCAAGTTGAGCCTGCAGGAGGGGCATAGCCCCCGCACCTAGATGCTGCCTTTCTGGCTTCCAGAACTGCGAGAGAATGACTGTGGTAACCAGTCACCCAGCCTGTGGTCGTTTGTCACCGTCGCCCAGGAAGCGGACCCCCTCCCTACTGGTGAAGCTGCCTCAGGCAGGCAGCGTGCGGGCAAGTGGACAGGGGCTCTGGGGCGAGGACAGAGCCAGGGCTGTGGGGACAGAGGAAGGGGCAGGCAGAGTCGGGGCAAGGGGTGGGGCTGGCAAGCAGTTGTCAAGGGGAGAGGGGGTGAGGATGGAGCCCAGGGGCTCTGAATTGGGGGCTCTGACATGGGCCAAGCAGAGAGGGGGACCAGAGGGACAGCAGAAGAGCGGAAGAGTGGGGTGTGGTGACTGTCTGGGGCCTGGGGTGGGCAGGAGCCAGTGGGGGGGCGAGCACAGGACTCAGGGGCACATTTGGGGAAAAGCGTGTATGTGTTTTGGGGAGAAGCTCCGCTAGCCGAGGACACCCAGGGAGCACCTGCTGCCCCAGGCCATGGGATAGGGAACGTCACCACGCGTGGAGACGGGGGCACAGAATGGGGGCACAGGCTAGAGACTCTCTGGGACCCTGGGGATCTAGGAGGAGCTGGCGAAGAAACAGGCCAGGCGGGGGGACCCCAGGAGAGAAAGAGGCACCCCAGCCGCAGTAAGTGGCAGGTGGGCAGGAGCCAGGCACAGAGGTGAGGGGGAGGGCGGGTTGAGGGGGACGGCCGGTGTGTGTGTGGGTGCTTCCCTGCTGCTTCCTGGGGAGTCGGGGGTGAGTCTCACCCAGGGAGAGAAGGTTCTGGTAGTTTGCCAGCATCACGTCCTGATACAGCACCCTCTGGCCGGGGCCCGGCCAGCCCCACTCTTCCAGGGTGAAGTCCACCGCAACGTCCGTGAAGGCCAGCGAGTCCTACGAAGGCCAATTTCCAGTGAGGGGGGAAACATCCTTCCAGAAGAACCAAGAGCCTCTCCCTACTGGTGGAACCAGCTGGAACACTGTGCCAGGACTGGAACAAGAGCCCAAGGAGTGGGGGGGGTCGAGGGGCCTTGGCACAATGTGAAACTGCGCCCCCTTCACACGCCTCCTGGGGGCCTCGGCTGGAAGCCCTTCCCGGCCCTCGTGGGTGGCGCTGCCTGCCTGCGGGAGCTCACGCCCGGGGGCTGAGGCAGGGCCAGCGCCGAGGGCGGGCGCACCTGGTGCTTTTTTTTAAGCCATCAGGTCACTGGGTGCGAGAGACAGTCCTCAGTCCTTTCCGCCCCAGACCCAGATGCTGGCCCAACCCCTATGCTGACCCCAAGGATAAGGTGTGGGGTGAAGCAAAGCTACCGCGTGCCGCTCACGTCCGGGTGACCAGCAGGCGTTGAGCACTGAGGCTGATTCTTGGTATCGGCCAATCATTCACCTTTAACATCAGTCGCTACGCATCACCTAGCACCAGGATCACAGCTCCACATCTCCGCTGAGGGCACAACACTCTGCCCGCCCTGGGGCTTGCTCCCCCAGCGCCAGATGACAGGTCCGAGGTCCCCCCGAACAGCCGCAGCACAGGGCCCTGGCCCTCGCTTCTCTGCCCCAGCCCCGAGCTCTGCCGTCAAGGCCTCTCCGGTAGCGGGGAGCAGTGCAGAAGCTCCTCAGGCTCCTGCAGGGACAGGAGAGGGGACCCGGCTCACCCGGTCCTCGGCCGCCAGTGCCCCAGTGGCCATGGCTGGGATCCCAGCTCTCAGCAGCTAGGAGAGAGGTCCAGGCTGGGTCTGTGGAGCTGGAGGGGGAACGGAGCAGGGAGGGTCAGTTCTGGCCCACAGACAGACAGGCAGACACGCGGAGACAGAGTCAGCGGGCCCTGGCCCCGGGCCCAGGACAGGCCCCCTGCTGCAGGACCCGTTCTGCACCAACCAGCAGTCACGGGGTCCGGCTCCCTGTGCCCACAAACAGTTCTTGAGGCAGGAACTCTGGTTATCCGGAGGAGGAAATCAGGGCACAAGGAGTCAAGGCCCTCGTGCAAGTCACAGGGACACCAAGTGTCAGGGCGGGATTTGAGCCCAGAAGTCCGGCCAGAGAGCCAACGTGGCCTCTCTTGTTTCTTACACTTAAAAAAACAATACATATTTGCTCAATGTTTTTTTATGGTAAAATCCACATACTATATCTGCCATCTTAACCATTTAAATCTAGTTATGGTCAAAGACACTATAAAGCAGACAATTTTAACCGTGTAGAGAGAAGCAGTTAATTAAGGATCATCACTGCTTTCTAGTCCCAGGACTCCATCACCGTCACCCCAAAAGGATCCACCCACGTCCTGATCCCCTGGCCCACTCCTCTGCATCTCTGCGGCCACCACAGCCGGAAGTCCGGGAGGGCCCTGCCCTGGGGCCTCCGGAGGGGGCTGGCCCTGCCGAACCCTCGACTTCAGCCCAGTGGACCCTTCACACACCGCCTCCCTCCAGGCGGTGAGTTCACCAAGTGGTTTAACCACTAAGACGGGGCTTTGTTTCAGCAGCAGCAAGACACAGACGTTCAGGAGTAAGAAGTCTCAGAGCCTGGCCTGAGCGGGACAAGCTCTGGAAGCTGAATCCAGAGGGTGCCCAATGGGTGAGGAAACGAGGAGCAAAGCCTTCCGGAGTCTGACCTAGCTCCCTCCTGTCCCGTGTTGATCCCAGAAAGAAGAGGCTAAGTCTGCAGAGGGGGAGACCTGGCAGACACCGGCTTCGCAGAGAGGTCAAGGTCAAGGTGACCAGGGATGGAGCAAACGGACATCCTGGGGCCCGGACCTGAGAAGGACTGGGCACGGTTCCTGGGGACTCCAGACGGGCTTCTGGAAGGACACAGTCTAACCTTCAGAACTGCCAAGATCAGGAAGGTCAAAGAAGGGCCGAGGGCTGCTCCAGCTTGGAGGAGCCGGGTCAGCTGAGGCCGGGTGCTGGGCCGGCCCTTTCTTCGGCCAGTGAGGACATTACTGGGAGAGTCAGCGGCCTGCGGAGGTCTGCCAGCCAGCTAAGGGTATTGTACCAGTGCTAACTTTCTCACTGTGATCATGAGGGAAGAGAATGACCTTGATTTGAAGGGGGAGAAGGGGAGTGGCACAGAGACCCATAAAATGGGGAACAAAGATGCAGAGTAGGGGGGGCGGGGAGATAGTTGGGATCGGGTGGGGGGACCAGAGGCAGGAAACAAGACACCAGGACCACGCTCAGGGTGAGGCCAGAGACCCAGGACGCTGCTGCGCAGGGCAGCTGAGGCTTTCGCGTGAGGCTCCCCAACGCCTCTGAGGGGGACCCCAATTCGCGGCTCCCACGCTCTGTGACCCGTGGGTCGCTGCGGGATGGGCCCCGGCCGTTTCTTCCCAGGAAGACACACACCCCCGCCGGGAGCCCTCGGACTCCGGCTCACAGCGGGCGCCCAGGTCCCGGGGCTGGGACACGGCCACCAGTAGGGTGACAGCGGCGGGGGGCGCGGCCCCTTGCGCGCTCCCCTCCTGCCCAGGCTGACTGGGCTCCCCGCACCCAACCGCGCCCTCTCCGGCTCGGGCTCCCGAGGCGGCCGGGACTCACCTGAGCGTCCAGCGTGCAGGTAGGTTACAGCTGCCAGGTCTTCCCCACCGCCCGGAAGCCGCGGAACGCGCCTGCGCGCTTGCTGTCCCGGCGCTTTAACGGCGGCCGCTCGGCAGGACTACAATTCCCAGAAACCATCGCAGCGCACGCTCCTTTCGGCCTAACGCCGAGGAGGGTGACGGAATGCTGGGAAGTGAAGTCTGGCAGCAGAACAGAGGGAATAGAACGTGTTCTAAATTTAAAGCGTCTTTGTAGCTGAAGGAAACTTGGTCTTTTGGAAAAGTCTGGCTGCTTGGCACCGCGAAGATCCCCATGTTACCCAGCGTCTTCACTGACCCCCACATATGATGACAATATAGTTTAACTTTTAAATGTGTTTTTATTGAGACACTGGTTTTGAACACTGATTTAGAGGTACAAGATCACCCCATTCAGGTATTGCACCCACCACTAAGACATCCTAGTCCTCGTCTGCCGTGCTCCCTCCCCACTTTGTCCTCCCCTCTCCCTTCTGGTACCCTCAATTCTACAGTCACCCCATAATGATTGCAAAGTGGGTCTTGGTCTGCCAGCCATATGGGAAATAAATTAGATGCTATAATAGTTATGGAGAGACTTCACAACCCGTAAGTTCGACTCGCAACTTCTACTGAAAAATTCGAAGTTCTGAAGGCACTGAGGCTGGAGCCAAGGTTTCCTTCCCCCACTCCCACCCCCCTTCGAGCACAGTTGCTCACTTAACCTAAAAGGACCCATAAAAGATGTGAGATTTCAGTCCCACAACCTGGCAAAACCCGCAATCCCCCTCCGCTGGCCTTTAAAGCCCTTCTGTATAGATATCAACACCGACTAGGGGGTTTTGCCTCCACCACCTGCCCATTTACTCAACAATGTCTTCTGAGTGCCTGCCCCCCCCCCCCACCTCAAGCTTTGTGCTGGCACTGGACCTCGGTTAAATCCCGCCTTTCTTATCACCTCCTCTTCCTCCCCAAGAACAACTCATTACTGAAATCCTGAGAGGCAGAGGGGTGGCTTGGATCAACTTGTAGCAAGAATTCGGGGAGGTTCAATCCCAGCGAAGGAGTGACCCATAGGGTGCAGAGACCTCTTCTGTCTCCTTCTGCCCCCCTCAGCAGTGAATTTCAGTGGATCTGCCTGTTCTGCTCCCCACTCTATCTTTGGTGAATCTTCTTAGACCCTGCACCTCTGACCTGTACCCCAGTTCTTGTATGCATAAATAAAAATATTTGAAAAAAAAAATCAGGCAGGGAGAAATTTACATGAATGCCATCCAAACCTAGTCAGGAACCCCGAGGCTGGAGCGCGAACCGTTCAGGCAGGGAAGGCCTCTGTATTCTCCACATGACCGCTGGGTCCCTCGGTGTTCTGAGGGCCCTCCTGCAGTGTCTTTACAGGGTGCACCCCTCCCTTGCCAGGAACTGATGGTCTCTCTTAGTTGCTCGTTTCTCTGGACGGTGGCTTCAGGAATCAGGAAGGTTTGTCTTTACAGATGAGCGAGTCGCGTCCCCAAATCTTGAGGAGCACCCAGTCAGGCAGAGAGAGAGCTGGACACCAGCTGAAGCCCCCCCTTCCCCCCATGTAAAGGCTGGAGACATTGAGGAATTTGTCATAAACTTTATCAAACTTCTTTTCCTTTCCCCTTACAAACTCCAAAACCTCCATCTCACTGCAGCAAGAGTTTTCGGTTTTGCCTGTATGTGACAGCCCTGGTTAGAAAGAGCACAGGGGTTAGAGAGCAAAGCTCAGCCCCTCGTGGTCCGACCACCGACCACCGCCCTCAAGCCCTCAGGTCCCCCACC